CCCACTAAGCTTTCTGACCAGGTCAGTGGGCAAACAAGACCTTGGATCCACACCCGGCTCTTGTTCCCTTTCCCATGATATCAGATGACACGTGCAATGACGTTGTTCTGCACGGTCAGTGTTGAGCAGGGTGCTTTGGACAGCATAGCAACTGATCACTGCTCACGCTCTTTTCCTTTATTCAACGTTATTCTAGTGGCAGCCTGGTGTGGGCTTGGGGCTGAGCTTCCTCGGATGAGGACGAGGACAGCCACGAGAACACTTGGGGATGGGGAAGAAGCAGGTGTGTCTTCAGGTGTCTTTGGTTTGCTGGGATTCGAATCCATGGAGACAGTGGAGGATCCGGGGGGAGGAGGCAGAGCGGCTGAACCTCTGATGTCCACCAGGCAGGGGCGGGTTCAGCAATCTTCAACTTAATCAATGTTGGCTCCCAAGAGCAAGAAGTTCTGGAGAGAAGGGAAATGGGTAAATAAGGAAGATGGTTTTCTGCACCTAATAGGCACCTTTCTTTCTGTTTCTTCTTGTTTTTTTTTGTTTTTCCCTTAAAGCCAGAAAGTGTTCTTTTTGGGGGTAACAGTAATGAACACACATGAACTACAGAAACATCAACGCATGACAGCAACGATCCCTAATCTAGAACCACACCTCACCCAGTGCTCTTCTAAAGGAAAACTGTGCAGCTTTGTGTCAATGAGAAAGGGAGGCCACCTTTCAGAGTCCTTCCTGTTGGTGCGTTGGGATAGAAGAGCTGACAGTTCTGTGTGATCCCTTGATCAGCCTGTCCTGACAGCTGAGATGAACACCACATTCAGCTTTCTCTGCTGGCGAATAGCCATTCAGGGACAGCCATCGGTTATTTCTATTGCTCCATGTTCCTGGATGCAGGAGTCATTGGATTGTTCTCTCTATAAAATTAGGAGCCCTGGTGGCGTAGTGGTTAAACTTTGGGCTGCGAATTGAAAGATCAGCAGTCCAAAACCCACCAGCTGCTCCGTGGGAGTAAGATGGGGCTTTCTATTCCTGTGATGAATTACTGTCTCAGATACTCACAGGGCAGTTCTACCCTGTTCTATACAGTTGCTTGGCATTTATACCTGACATATAGAACAATATTTTCCATAAAAAGTGGGTCCAAGAAGCAAGTGGGAGTTAGGAGCCACCCCTAGGATCTACCTACCCTGGAAACAGCCCTCCAGTGGGTTTTAGAGATCCCCAACCAGACCCACTTCTCACTGACCTTGTGAATTTGCAGCACCAAGCTGTTGAGGAAGGTGTCTCTTGGCAGAGGGAGAGGGAACCCCTTCTCAAGCTTTGCTGGAAGAGAAAGGCAGGGAGATTAGGTGGGCTGCTCAGAGGCTGGGTAGGTGCACAAGCACAAAGCCCTGCATTGGCGGCCAGCTCCGGAGAGAGCTAGCTGCTGTAACGAGTGGTCTATTGGATTCAGGCGTGGCTTGGTCCGTGCAAAGTTCCAGGAAATGTACCTACTTCAGGAGTAGACTGAGAGGCCAATTTCTAAGGCTCTTGTCCCCCTACTGAGACCAGCCCTTGTCCATCTCCTAAGCAGCCAGGACTTGGCACACAGCCCCTTTCTCCAGGGACAGCCTTGAGGACCACAACCTCACGTTCTTGTTTCCAGGGCCTGGGCTGTCATTTTCTCTTGGTCACAATGGGGGCAGTGGTGGTTTAGTGATAGAATGTTGGTCTAGGGAGCCAGGTTTGATTCCCGGCCAAGACATCTCTGTGCAGCCCCTACTTGTCCCCCAGCTGAAACCTGTGTGTCATTATGATACTGAACAGGTTTCAGTCATCAACTTGCAGAGTTACATAGACTAGGATGCAAAAAGGCCTGGCAATATACATAAACCCATTACAATCAACCTACGAACCCCCATAGATCACCATGACTTGAGCCTCAGCCCATCACTGGGACAGTGCAGGACAGGGCAGCATTTTATCCTGTGTGCATTGGGTTACCATGATGGAAGGTCAATTTGATAGCAGCCAACAACCACAATAGCGTCTCTTGGTCGTAAAAGGTGGGTGTAGGCCCTCTGGAGAGCATCACAGGATGGGAGGAAGCCTGTTGGATTCCACGGCAGTTGCAGTTCTAAGCACTACCTACATTAAAGTCAGCAAGCAAGGCAGGTATAAAGCCTGGGCCAGCATGTGGGCTTCATGGAACACCACCTGGAATGGTCCACTTCTTTTTGTCTAACTCATTATCCCACAGGACTCTGCTCAGACTTCACCTCCTTTAGGAAGCCTTCCCTGTCTCTGTGGTCTGTGTCTCCTAGCTCCCATAGTTCCCTCGGCTTCCTTCTAAATAGCATTTCTCACACTGTGTGGCCACTTGCTGTAATCCACCCACTTCCCAAAGGTGCAGTCTTAATGAGGGCAAGGACCACAGACCAACCGAGTTCCAGTTAGCACAGAAGAGAGTTTCAACTTGTTGAGAATCAGTGCCCCATGAAACCCACCCAAAGGGGAGAATACATTCTCTGCCTGAAGCAACCAGTAGCAGCTCTTTCTTACCATTGAGAATGGGGTAGATGGTGTGAGTTGCGTAGTAATTGAAGAAGGCTTCCATCAGTTGCACCTGGATCAGAGGAGGGGCCAGAGCAAAGGGATCCAATAAGACATGAATAAAGGTGAAGGGCCCCCACTCTGGAGACACGGACAGGTCGTCCTGCTTGGTTAGTAGGGGTTAACTATGAGACTAGAGTGGTTATGGCTACAAACCCAAACCAAGCCCCTGACCTTGGAGTTGGTGCTGACTCATAGCAACCCGGGAGGGCAGACCAGAACTGCCCCTTTAGGTTCCCAAGGCTGTGACTCCTTGGGGAAACAGATGACCAGAACTCCTTCCTGTCAAGCAGATGGTGGGTTCGAACTGACAGCCTTTTAGTTAGCAGTCCAATGCCATCAGAGTCCCTTCATTACAGGCAAACAGTCCCTTATCCCACAGCCTGGGAATCTGTGAGACTTCGTTGTCTATGAGGCTGTGTAAGTCCATTTTATGGCAACATTTATGGCTCAACTGCCCGGAGGATCCCTTTATGTGCATATTTATAGACTTTATTGAAGAAATATCTACATGTGTAATTCTAGAGTGCTTCTCTCCCCCGATCCTACTGGGGGTGTCAGGTAGCACGTGGTCTATGCACCCTAATACCTCTGAACAATTGTCCACCCTGAAACCCATCAGTCTTGAGGGTTGGATGCAGGATTGTGCATCTGGGTCACCACTGCGACGGCAGTGATCCAGGATGGAGAGCTTGCTATGTGTGAGGCGTTGTGTCTTTGTTGATTTATTGCCTCACCTCCTATTACAGACTCTATGTGAGGTAAGAAAACGGAGGCCCGTAGAGGTTAGGTGCCTCGAGCAGGGTCACAGAGCTAGCAAGCACCAGGGTTGGTGTAAGAGCCTGGATCGGTCGTAATCCAAAGCCCATGCCCACTTGCTTTAGCCTCAGATAGTGGCTTCTGTGGACGGGGATCTTTCAGACATGGGGTCCTGTTTCCTGCGAGTGGGACAAACCCAGGAAATGTCGAGTGGACAGGACTCACGTTGAAGTGACCGACGTTGGAGTGCTTCAGTTCCAGTTTCAGCTGACTGTGTGGAGAAAGAGAGAAGCCTGTGTCACCTCAGGCCTTGGCTGGTACTTCCTCTGTGTGACCCCAGTGGTGCTTGGAGGAAGGGCCTTGTGGGGTCTGGCAGCCCAGAGGATCCTCTGAAATGTGCTGTCTGTGAGTGTAAGACTACAAACAGGTGCTGTGATTTAAGAAGTGGCATTGTGGCAAATAAATTTTTCCGGCCACTTTAATCCCTTGAAGAAATAATGATGACATCAAGATTAAGTGGGCAAAGGGGAATCCCAAACACATGAACTGCCAGACTCCAGAGAGGTAAGCAAACCACACTCGTGCCATAGAGCCAGTGCTGACCCTCCGACAGAGCAGGAAGTCCCCACAGGGACCCCAAGGCTGTCAGTCTTGACAGACGCAGCCTGCTGGGTCCTTCCCTGGAGGAGAAGTGCGTGGGTTTGAAAGGCCTAATGTTTGGTTGGTAGCCACTCTTAGCTGCTGTGTCCCTGGGGTTCCTCTGAAATGTGTAAACACTGGTCAAAAAGACTGGACCACAAGATAGGAAACTGTGAGACCTGGTCGCCTGCAGGTGGCATAGCCATGGGGGATGTTTTTGCTTTTGGACACTTCACTTTGTCCCTTTAAAAAATGTATCCTATGGAAATTGTCCATACAGACGGAAAGGAGAAGCCTGACACCCGAGCTGGCACGCAGCTGGCACCCCCTGGGGTGTAAGAAGGCAGAGGGGCTCAGGGCACCTGGAACAGGGTTTCTGTAGGAGCCCAACCCCTCCTTCCCCAGCCCACCCCCATTCATCTTCCTGACCGGGAACTTCTAATCACCAGGGAAGACCCTTCTCCTGCTCGAGGGCAGAGTAGTGCTGGTGCTTCCCTGTGAGGTCATGGCATCCGGCCCTCTCACATCCTCGCCCGGGGCCACGTCCCTGTGCTGTTCTCTGCAGTCCAAGCTCTTGGGCTCCCCCCCCCAGTACTGCATGGAGCCCAAAGTTCAGAGTCCAGTGGCCTCCAAGAGTCCATCTGTCCCCACTTAGATCCTCAGCAGGCTGCCACCCCGCTTCAGGTGCTCACCCTTTTCCTCTCTGTTGAAAGACCTTATTAAGACGATGCTCATTTGAATGGCATCAGGGTATTCTATCAGCCACAGACATCTAACTGACCCTAAAGCCAAGCACTAGTCACAGGATGAACCCATTATCTCTGTGCTGGAGTATAGAGTAGGAGCCTGAATTGAAGAGCCCTGGGGTGGTTGATGAGGCTTGGCATCAAGACATTGGGAGGCCAAGTGAGAGCCTCTGGGAAGGAGCCTTGGGCCCTGCTCCCCAACTTGTTTCTTTACTATGCTGACGTTCTTCTTTGCATCCTGTAGCTTGCCACAGGCACATGCTGTGTCCTGTGCAGTGGCTCACACACAGTAGGAGTGAAATAATACCTGTTAGTATTTAGGGGCCACTTCTGTGTGCCACCAGCTGTGCCAGTGTGCATGGCAGAATTCACCTCAGACAACTATGCTTAAAGATGCACTGCCATGCTGTCTCTACTGACTCACTGCAACCCTGTAAGGGCAGGGAAGAACTGCCCCTGCGAGTTTCCAGGACTATCACTCTTTTTGGGAGTAGGAAGCCTCATCTATCTTCTGAGGAGCGGCTGGTAGTTTTTAACTCCTGACCTGGCTGATCGTAGTCCATCTCAAACCCACTACGCCACCAGGGCTCCCTGTGGCAATAGCCCTTCGTGAATTAGGGATTATCATCTGATATGTAGGGGCAGGGAACTAAGACTCAGAGAGAGGGAATAAGTTACATACGGTCCACAGTCAGTGAGGACAGAGCGAGGATTCAAAAAGGAGTACAGGGCGGTCTGATTCCATCAACTGACCCATTACATCCTCGTCTACTGAATGGGCAGTGGGACAGGAAGGAGTGGCCTGGGGTCACCTTTGACTATCCATTCCAAATTTCTCCATTTGTTCATTTGAACAATTGATGCTGACTAACCATCCTCTCCCCACCTGCCCAATCTTACATGCAAAGTCCCTGCAAACTGAGCTTTAAGTAGAACTCTGCAAACTAGACTCTCCTCCCCTAGTGGAAATTCGAGCATCTCCACTGATGTCTGGGACGGGGGAGTGAGGTGGCTAAATCAATAGGAGACCTAAAAGTGACCTCTGATCCCCGGGTGCTTCTCCCAGATAGGTGCACGAGGGTAAGCAACCCACGAGGGTCTCTTTTCCAAGATCAATCCCAGCCCTAACAGTGAGCCCGACTAGGGGTTCTGGCTACGGTTAGGAAGTCGCCATCCCACTGTAATTTCTGCCCCCTTACCTTCCTGGGTTCACTGAGCCAGTGATCCTGCTGGAGGCCACATTGATGGTGGCAGAGACGTTGGTGCTCTAGAAAAGCAGAGGAGGAAAACAGACACCTCAGCCCACTCCGGCACACGGCTGGCTCCTGGCCACAGTCAGATGGAGGAAGCCTGAGGCTGAGGCAGCTGTCTAAGGATCAGGGACTGAGGGGAGGAAGTGGTGGCGCCAGAGCTGGTTTGAGGAACATGGATGGAGTGGAGGCTCTCCATCTCAGTGGCACTACCAACAAGGGGAAGACGCTCACTCTGAAGACACAGCCAGTTCCTTAGGGGTGTCTTCTGCCTGTTCCTGTGACTAAGCTTTGGAGCAGGATAGCAAGGGAAGTTCAGAGGGAACTTCACCTGGGGAAGGTGAAGAACGCCCACCAATTGACATTTGTCATTGAGGGCGGGGAATGGTGTGCTGAGAGGTGGGGTTAGGCACCTGAAAGCCCCGCCCCATCTGTGCTGGCCAGCTCTTCCAGCTGAGCCCACTTCCTCTTAGCAGCAAGTGAGTCTTCCCTGCAATAAATACCTGGGTGAGTGCTAGTGGGGGCGTCAGTGCCCAGCTCGACCTAGGAACCTAAGGGAACCCCAGAGGCTTTTGGCAGGAGAAAGAAAACAGTGTGTGTGCCATCCAGAGCTGAGAAGGCTGCCTTCTGCTGTGGCCTGAACAAGGTTGGATTGCCTTTAACCGTGCCAACAGTCAAAAGACATCCAAGAAGGTGCCCCAGCAGACATTGCTGTGTTTCCCACGACCCATTTCCCAGCCTGCCTGCAGTCATGTGCCACATGCCATCGCTACAAGAATCCCTTCATCTTGCTCTTTTAAAACCATAGTCAATTTCTTCCTGCCATACACTCCTGAATCGGTGGCTATCAGGCAGCTGTACTGCATTTCTGTAATTTTGTCACTTCGAGATTATTCTATAAATGGAACCATTCAACATGCAATCTTTTATATTGAGGTGCAACCCCCCCACATACATTTAGCTTTGTTCTCTGGAGATTGATCCAGATTGCTGCATGGACCAGGAGTCCCTTATTGCTGAGTAGCATTCCATGGAGCTATTTCTGTGGGCTCCAACCCTGTGACTGGTGAAGGACATCTGTGTGGGTTGTTCCCCGTGTTTGACTACTGTTAACAAAGTTAGTATTTGTGTTTGAGTTTGGTGTGAACAGATGGCTCCATTTCCCTGAGGTAAATGCCCCAGAGTGAAAGTGCTCAGTTGTGTTTACATTTATGATTTTTGTGATGGGATCCTTTAAAGCAAAACTAACTAACTAAAATTTTGATTCAATCCAATTTATCCATTTTTTTCTTTTGTTATTTTTCCTGCTGTCATAGCTATATGTTCCCTAATTTAAAGTTATAAAGATCTTCTATGTTTTCTTCTAAGTGTTGTGTTGTTTAACTTTTACATTTAGGTGTTGGATTATTTGGTTGGTTAATTATGCATGTGGTGTGAGGCAGGGGTCCTAACTTTCTTCTTTTGTACACGGTTACCTATTTGTCTTAGTATGCTTTATTGGCTAGCTTTCTCTCTCCCCCATGGAATTGTCCTGGCCCTCTTGCCAGAAATGTGTAGATGTATCATAGATGTCTGGGTTTATTTCTAGTCCCTCAATTCTATTGCATTATCCTCTGTCTGTCCTTGTTCTAGTACCACACTCTCTTGATCACTTAGCTTGGTAGAAAGTTTTGAAATTGAGAATAGTGAGTTCTCTAACTTGGTTCTCTTTTTGTTTTGTTTTATCCCTTCTTTTATGCAGTCTCATTATTTTTATTTTTTGGTATTGTTTTCAAAATTTTCCTACATCACACATGTAAAAATATGATCATTTCCCTTCCACTAAATGCAGAGTGCATGTTGGAAAAATACAGACAGAGATTTTCAAATCAAAAGCATTTACAAAGAGAGACCTTCCTTCAAACTCATCCAGCAAGCAAACACCCAACCAACTCATGGGTGGGACCCACCTGGACTCTTAAAGATGGATGTGTTTGGCATGCCTCCTTTCGAGCTCACCGAAGCAGACGGCCACACTGCTTTGGCTTGGACCCTACTACTCCTGATGCACTGCGATTCCCTGCTTTCTCATCATTTGCCCCTTTCTAACTTGGTTCCTCTTTTCCAAAATCTCTATGGTTATTCTGGGTCACTTGCATTTTATATACATTTTAGGATCAGTTTTTCAAAATATGTCTTTGAAAAGAAAGCCAGCAAGGATTTTGATAAGGATTGTGTTGAGTCTGTAAATTAAATGGGGGAGTTGGAATCAATTTGGTGCCAATAAGTTTGGTGTTTTTCTTTCTTTTCCATCTTAGGTATTCTTTAATTATCATACTTTCTTGAAGAAGGTAATCCGATGTTTTCTTTGTAAGGATCTAAACAGGCACATGTTTTAAATCTAGAAAGTGTTTACAGACAACATCACTGAGAGGAAAGCTGACATCTTCAGTTTCATTGGACTGGATGACCTTTCACTTCTTGTAGAAACATATAACACAGCACTTGCCAATTTAATATTTTCCAGGCGATATCAATTATAATTCTAGTGCTCTGCAACTATTACCCATGATTGTTGCCAAATTTTCTGTCACCACAGATATCCACTACAACCTGCAGTGAATGACTTCTGAGGTTTTTTAAATTCTGAAGGTGTATGATTTAATGAACTAAACCCTTGGGAAACTTAGTTACTTACACCAGTAATGCAGAGCCTGCTGATGCCAATAGTGGCAAAAATAGCTTCCAGGTCCTTTCGGCTAAAGACTGCATCACGCTTGTTGAGGGCTACACTCATGGCATGCATGACCTGGCTCAGACCAGACTTACCGCCCTGAGCTGGAACAGTGGCTTGCGTTCAAGAGAGTTGGGCAGAAGGACGAAGGCTTGGATGGTCACCACTGGCATGAAGTTCACATTCCCAGGGGAAAACATCAGGACAGGAGCTGATTCAGGTGATCCCTCAAGTTCCATCTTCATATTAGGGTATAACCTGGCCAGCTAGAGAGAGAGGGTAGAGACTCAGAGGAGGGCATTAGACAAAGAACGTTACTGAGGGAGAGCAGATTGATAAGTCTCCAGGGCTCAAATCTCTAAAGGCCTTAACTCAGCCCTGGAACCGGAGGAAGTGGTATTTTCCAGATATCCTTTCCAAGAGAGAGCTACTGTGGCTAGAAGGGGCACTTTGAAGATGTTTAGAATGGATAAAACACAAAGGGCATGTTTGAATAGCAGTATATGGTTGACATCCTGCCTTCCATTTTAGGTTTTCTGTGCATTCTATGCGTTGACTGGTATGTAAATTTGCGGTCTGTCATCGATTGAGTTATTGCACACACCAGCTCAAGTTTTGTGTGAACTTGCCTAAGCCATCATTCTTAGTGTCATGTGACTGTCTTCCATTTTGTAATCTGATGTAATTACCTTCCATTTTGTTAATAAGGTGGGGTTGGTTTGGTTGTATCCCGAGTCCCAGCCCCATGAAAGTGGATGATTCAAGTCACATCTTGACTCAGGTTCCAACTTTATTTGTTCCAACACATGCGTATTGGATTCACACCTTTTATCTTAAAAGAGATAAAAGAGAAAGTAAAAAGAAACAGAAGAAAGAACTAGGAGGCAAAGGGCATTTATAGAGGTCTAAATACAGGCATGTATATATATAAATATATGTATATATGACCATGGGAAAATAGATGTATGTACATATATTTATAGGTGTAGTTTTAAGGTAGCAGAAGGACATTGGGCATCCACTCAACTGCTCCCTCAATGCAAGAACACTTTGTTCTATTAAACTGGCATTCTATGGTGCTCACCTTCCCGACACAATAGCTGAACACAAATCAGGTGCCTAAGCAAACGTGGTAAAGAAAGCTGATGGTGCCCAGCTATCGAAAGATATAGCATTTGGGGTCTTAAAGGCTTGAAGATAAACAAGTGTCCTTCTAGGTGAGAAGCCCCAAGACCCACATGGAAGAAACATACCAGCCTGTGTGATCATGAGGTATTGAGGGCATCAGGTATCAAGTATCAAAGAAGAAAACAAATAATGTCATTGTAAATGAGGAGGAGTACAGAGTGGAGACCCAAAGCCCATCTGTAGGCAACTGTATATTCCCTTACAGAGGGATCACAGGGAAGACATGAGCCAGTCAGGGTGCAGTGTAGCACCGATGAAACATACAACTTTCCTCTAGTTCTTTAATGCTTCCTCCCCTGCCAATCATGATCCCAATTCTACCTTACAAATCTGGCTAGACCAGAGGATGTACACTGGTACAGATAAGAACTGGAAACACATGGAATCCAGGACAGATAAACCCCTCAGGACCATTAATGAGAGTAGTGATACCAGGAGGGTAAGGGTAAGGTACGGGAGAAAACAGAACGGATCACAAGGATCTACATATAACCCCCTCCCTGTAGGATGGACCACAGAAAAGTGGGTGAAGGGAGACATCGGACAGTTTAAGATATGACAAAATACTAATAATTTATAAATTATCAAGGGTGAGGGAGGGAGGGGAAAAATGAGCTGATCCCAAAGGCTCAAGTAGAAAGCAAATATTTTGAAAATGATGATGGCAACAAATGTACAAATGTGCTTGACACAGTGGATGTATGTATGGACTGTGATAAGAGTTGTATGAGCCCCCAATAAAATGATTTTAAAAAGAAAAAAAAAAGAGAAAAGGAGACAGGTGAACAGAGAGGAGAGAGATATCACCACTACTCAGAATGAAGAGTCAGAAGTGGAACATGTCTTTTAGACCTAGGATTCCTGTGCTGAGAACCTCCTAGACCCCAGGGAAGGTTCATGCCAAGACACATAGAGATCTCCAAGGAATGCGAGGCTCATAGGTGCGGAAGAGAGAAAGCTTTTCTCCAGAGATGCCAGAGCCTTCCCCTAGAGCTGGTGTCTCAATTGGAAGGTTTAGCTTCCTAAATTGGGAAACTATCAATTTCTGTTAAAGTCATCCTCCTGAGATACTGCTATAATAACAGTATTAGTGTACTAAGACAGGGGTGAAGCCAAATCATCTGGGTCTGGAGCAGGGGCCCCATGTTCTCTACTACCTCCCCAACTTTCCAGTTTTGCCACTTAAGAAACACAAAGAAACTCTCAACCCCACAAATATTTGATGACTATACATTTGGTTCCCAATCATTTGTGCCCTGGAGGGACTTTTGTACATTTGAATCAAGTTAAGTGCTCTTGACCTGGTTAAATGATTAAGTGCTGTAGATATTACTGTTGCCCTCAGTCAACAAGTGGGCAAACTGAGGTCCAGGAAGAATGAGTTCCAAAGCTTACAAGGAGCCAACCCAGGACTCCAGACCTGATGGTCAGAACTCAGATTCTGTGTCTCTGTGGCTCAAGGAGCTAGAAAATGATGGGAGTTTTGTATAGACACATGCGTTCAAGGATTTTTCATTTGTCCCCACTGTGCTAATAGGTAAGTTGTGTGGCTGGACATAGTTCACACATTGTTTATTGGTGCCCAAATACAATGTCCAGGACTGGGCAAAGGTGAGGGGTTTGTACTGTTCCTTGTGATGAGTGACCACAGCCTTACCCGAGGAACCACAGCCCGGAATGAGTTTGTGTGAAGATGCAGCATGGAGTCCAAGGGAGTTTGCAGCAGAATAAGCAGGGAGCTACTTGAGAAGCAGGACAGGACCCTTAGTAGAGATGTGGACTTTGAGGTCTGACAGCTTGGGTTCGAAAGCTGCCCCCGCAATCTGCTGATGGTAGATTGATTTCTTAGTTGCTCAATCTGTAAAATGGGTCAACAATCGCACGTATATTATTGGGTGTGTTAGACCGGACAGACTAGAGAAACAAATTCATTGACACTCATATATGTATAAGAGAGAGCTTTTATTAAAAAAGCAATTGTACATTGAGAAAACATCCCAGCCCAGTCCAGATTAAGTCCATAAGTCTGATATTACCCCATATGTCCTGCACTAGTCTATAAATTCCTCTTCTCTTCAGATTCACAAAACACATGCAATGATGCTGAATGCAGGAAGATCACAGGCCAGTGGGTGGAATGTCTTGTGGATCCAGTGGCGGTGTAAGCATGTGAGCACTAGCAGGGGTCTCCACATGGCTCCTCCAGCTCCCAGAGCCCTGGCTGCATCAGCATAGTACCATCAGGTTCCTTGTCAGTAATGTCTCTGAGGGAGTGAGGTGTGTCCTGTCTCCAGTGAGCTATTTATCTCCTTAGCACCTCCAAATGAAGTCATCAAGCTGCAACATGATTGACAGGCTAAACTCCACCCCTCCACTCTTAAGTGTCAAATTGACAACAGATTATGTAACCACCACAACCCCCATCTCCCTGGACCTGTCCTTCCTCAAGAACCCCCTCCTTCTTTGTGCTGCTCCTATGGCACCAACCACAGTTTGGCAGTCATGAAGTTGTGCTGTTCAGATCTCCCTTCAAAGGAGTCACCTATCACACTTGTGGATCCTGACCTTTCACGCCAAGTCCACAGCCCCTGTAGACTGATCCCAGGCCCTGACTGAGCAGGGCAGGGCTGGACAGTTGGGTTCTTTCTCCTTGACAGACATGGCACTCCTTCGATAAGCGAACATTGCTCCGTGGCTCACCATCTTCCTGGTCAAGACCTTCTCAGAGCTGGGCAGCAGTCCTCACACTGCTCCCCCCCTCCCCCCCTCCTCCCTCTCTTCTCCCTTCGCAGGTGTCAGACATGCATGCTGATCTGAGGGCTCTTCCCACCTAGCCCTGCCCCTCTCTTTTGTCCTTCACATCTTTTGTAAGTCTTATAACATGTGGGCATCTGCTTCTCCAGGCTCCAGGAGCAATGGGGAAGAGACCAGCACACCTTTCTCCTGAGGTGCCTCTGGGCATGCGCATTACCACGTTTTCCCTTAGTAGCTGAGTACTTCATCATTTCTACCATCCTGGTGCTCTTATGACACACCAGGTCTTCTTAGTTTCTAAAATACTGCTACCAGAGCTCATAAGAATTGTGTGTCATTGAACACAGCATCTCATCTAATGTCTGGGCAATACATACTCTGAAGATCCATCTGTACCTGTAAGGTAACTAAAACACAGCTTGGATTTGAATCCACCTTTGGAAGGCTCCCAAGTTCAGATTCTTCCCCTGGTTCTCTGCAGCAGCCCCTTCAGGTCTATGGTCCCACTGGAAGCTCTCACAAGGGGCTCCAGCCTCCTCCCTTCCCCCACTCACATGCTCCTCTCTGAGGGTGAAGTTCATACGCCCTGCCTGGTGGTACATGAGGCTGGCAGTGTTGAAGACATATTCGGAGACAGCAAAGTAGACCATGCGATCGTGTTCTTGGGGGATCTCCATCGCTGGGGCATCAAAGGGAACTGGGGATCGCCGGCTTCGGCTGAAGAACTCACCCTGGAGACAGGAGGATACCTCAGTCATGCAAAGTGCCTATCAGAGAGGGTGTCAGACAGAAGGGTCCAAAACCTCTCTGAGGAGGAAGCCTCTCAGTTCGTAGGTGATGGCTGGGGAGGCAGCTCCTTTTTTGAATGAGGGTGCTGAGGTACTGAAGGATTTCCTCTGAACCAACCATATCCATGTGGCAGCTTCATGGAATCCCCCTATTAGAGCAGCATCTCTGTGCAAGGGGAGTAGAGGGTGGCGAGGGAGGAGGTAGAAATACAGCCTGGCGGTAAGGAGCAAGGACTTGGGAGCTGTTGGGTGGATGGACTGGTGAGGGAGAGGAGGAGCTAAGTGATTGAGCTGGAGCTGATATTCTGCCTGCCATCAGTTCTCAGTTCCTTTACCCCCAGTCCTTCACCTTGAAGGGTGTGTCCAAGCCTTGAGAGGTCACTTGGGGAGCATCTATCAAACTGTAGTCAATGCCAGCAACTTCGTCAATCATCAAAGTGACTGTAGAACAGGAAAGGAGCAGGATTAGGAACAAGGTAGTGAAAGTCAGGTGTGCAGGTTGTAGAGTAGACAACTGTAGGGAGCTCTATTCTCTTGAACTACACCATTTAGAGAGTGGATATGGAGCAAGGACATACCCATAGTTCTTTGACCATGAAGGAGATCCATTCAGTTTCTACTTATTGAGCCTCTGTTATGTGCAAGGCATCATGATGGAATGGAAGAAACAACTATGAGTAAGATTGCCCAAGTCCTTACCCTCAAGGGGCTGACAGTGCAGAATAAGAACAGATAATCAAACAATTGAGCAAATACATGCACAGGGAAACTCTGTTAGGTAAGAGGGGCTCATAGGACCATGACAGTCGTACAACAGAACCTGATCTAGATAGACAATCATTGAAGATTTCTTTGAGGTGTTGCTCCGACAGAGATCAGGAGGAGGAGTAGGCATTGGTTGGGTGCAGGGTGCTGGGTATGAGGGGAGGGCATTTCTGGCAGAGGAACTGGCTCTAAGTTCTGACAGCAATGTGGAGCACGGGAGAGTAGAAGAACTAACCCGTGGGTGCTGGTATGGTAGGAACCCAGGCTGAGACAAGTTGGGGAGGAGAGGAAGATGAAGCTGGAAGTAGCAGGTGGTACCTGAACCTCTTAGTCTTCTGCTGCGCACCTCCAGTCTGAGTAGCCTTTGATGGGCTTTGAGAGGAGGGAGGTGATTTTGTGTGTGATTGTAAAAAATCTCTAGGGCAGCAAGAGTGGGCTGAGAAGGCCCCTTGTACAGGGCGCTGAGAGCACCCCTGTTCTGTTAGAGATTCCAGTGTCTATCCAACAATAGAGTCTCCCACTTATTTGTATTCTCTGCTCACTTCCTCATTTTCCTGGCAGGCACCTGAGACCCACCCCTAATCCTTTCACTCCACCGCTCTTAGATAAGACACTTCCAAGAGGTGGCTGTGCCATATCCAACTCTGTAGGCTGGAAAAACATTCAGTGCAGAAATGTTTCCCTGGGGCCCTAGAGGAGGTGATGGCTCCAGGTTCCATGATATTTGGTGGCCCTGAAGAATGGATGACTCCTCCCAGAATAATTTATTTTAGAGGACAGCACTGAATCTGCAGCTCCGGGAGAGGGACATGTCTGATCAGAGCACATGGGAGCAAATGAAAGGGGAGGAAGAGAGAGTGGAGCACATCCTGGCCCACCAAGCCTTGAGGACGATATTCCCGCTTAGAGCAGCCAATGCACACAGTCACATGGCCGGCCCCACTATGAGATGCAACCTCCCTCACTGACCCATAGCACTACAGGGTACAACACTGGAGACACAGTGTGGGAATTCCACCCGATCTGATCCCACCACACCGAGGCAAAACACTAAGGTTGTACAACAGAACAGCAATGGAACAGAGCAACGAAGTCCCCAGGGAATACCAAAAATAGACTTTGGAGCCAGGGCCTGTCGCCCCAAGGGACTCGACTGGAAAACCCCCCTAAAGGCCAACAAACAGTCCTTGAACTAACTACAAGCTTTTATTTCTTGTTGTGTTTTTTTTGTCGTTGGTTTGTTGTTGTTGTTTTGTTTTATTTTTTTGCTTGGTTTTGCTCTGTCTTGTTTTTGTGCATGTTATTATTTCCGCAGGTCTTTCTAAATAAGAAAGGCTGGTTGAACAATCCTGAGAAGAAAACAACGGGACTGACAGTTTCAGGGGGACATGGGAGAGGGGTGGGGATTGGGGGAAAGGTAGTGGTGTTAACAGACCCAGCGACAAAAGACCACCAAGTGATCCAAATCGGTGGTGAGGAGGATGTAGGAGGCCTGGTAGGGTGTGATCAAAGAAAATGTAACCAAGAGGAATTACTGATACCCAAATGAAGAGTGAGCATGATAGTGGGTCAAGAGGAAAGTCAAAGAAAATAGAGGAAAGAGCTAGGAGGCAAAGGGCATTTATAGAGGTCTAAATAAAGGCATGTATATATGTAAATATATTTATATATGAGGATGGGCAAATAGATATATGTGCATATATTTATAGGTTTAGTATTAAGGTCGTAGATGGACATTGGGCCTCTACTCGAGTATGTCCTCAATGCAAGAATACTTTGTTCTATTAAACTGGCATTCTATGATGCTCACCTTCCCAATTCGATTGCTAAAGACAAAGAGGGTGCATAAGCAAATGTGGTGAAGAAAGCTGTTGGAGCCCGG